TGTTTGGAACAATTATCTGGACGTCAGAGAGGAAGCAGCAACTGTGGATTCGTTTCTGCCCTTTTTGGACATAAGCACTGTCCTCTCAGTTGCAGGAGATGATGAGGGAAGTAGGAGAGGAAAGCGCGGACGCGGTCAAAGAGGAAAGGAAGGAGAAACAGAGCGAGCTTGGGAGATACTTCGTCCTCCCTATGGTATGCTTAAGAATTACAAGCAGCTGACAAAGCCATCACGGATGAAGTTATTTTCTGCTCCCTCCAGATTCTCTTGCTTGATTATGAATACAAGACCTTCTGTCACATTTCCTCTGTGTGTATGCAAAGGAAGCATGCAAGACAACAATCATTCAGACGCTGGCCCTGTTTTTCTACAGTCTGTCTGTAATCTGTTTAGTCTGAGTATTTATATACCACCCTTAAGTGGGATACAGTGTGTAACAATTTACATACTGAAATAATCAGAGAACAGATGAGAAAACCATAAACAAATCAATATATAAATAATAGCATGTAAAACCACGTATGCTTCTTTTTTTTAGAGAAACAAGAGTGTTCAAAAATCAGTTCAGAAGCCTAGGCCAATTTATATTAATGAAGTAGAAGCAGCTGGAAACAACCTGTTTTCTTTTGAACAACTACACACAACAAGGCTGTTAAGCAAATCTCACAAAGATCGTTCCAGAGCCGTGGGCCTCCACAAAAATAGCTCTTTCTCTTATCCTTGTCAGCTTGATGATCTTATCCACGGGCCCCTGAATGTGCCCCTTTCTGCAGGTGCTTAACTACTTACGAAGACATTTTAAAAACAGGAATGACACAGTTTTACTCTCTGTGACAGCACATCTGTTAAATGAATGGAACTTTTTAAGCTACAAGTATGCTGAAATAATTTCAGTGAGTCCAATGAGCTTAGACAGGTAAAATCTCCATCCTCCTGAAGGTAGTCAGGGCTTGGCTAGGCATGAAATCAGATCTTAGCCAACTACATCAGGACAAAGGTACAAACTGACCAGAAATTTACAATGCTAGGAGTGACAGCGGAACAGCCAAATAGACTTTAGAACAAGTCTGGTGAACAAAGCAGAGTAAGCAGGTGTGTTAAGGAAGCAGCTGGATGGGGCTCAGGCAACAAAAAGGCTTGGATATTGGAGAAGGCAGTCAGGGCTTGGCTAGGCATGAAATCAGACAGGGCTTGGCTAAGGTAGCAGCCAGTTAGCTTGGAGCTTAGACAGACTGGGCCAGGCAGTCAACAGGAGGGCCCCTGCATCCACGAGGTATCAGTTCCAAGCCCCCCCCCCAACATATGCTGAAAAATGATGGCGAATGTTATTTTAATAGTGAATGCTATATACAGCATGGCCTCTGTCTCCCTCTAGGGTCCAGCTCTGGTAATGACATCACAGAACTATATTTCTCTATCATAGCAAATGCTACACATAATTTGGTCTCTTGTTCCCTCTAGTGGCAAGTTCTGGTAACTTTATCTTTAGATTTTTTTTCTTTTAATACTGTATAGTGGTGCCCTGCACCACAACAATCCGTTCCCCTGATATCGGTTTTAAGCGAAAACATCGTCCAGCGAGAACAGTTTCCCCATTGGAATGCATTGAAACCCATTTAATGCGTTCCAATGGGGAAATTACCTTGTTGTCCAGCAAAGATCGCCCATAGGGGAAGTCATTTTCCGAGCGCCAAAAAGCTGTTAAAATGGCTGCCCTGCGAAGCATGGGTCTGGAAACTACAGGATAGCCGTTTTGCGGAGCTGGAAAACATCATCATCTTGCAAACCAACGGTTTGCAAAGCACGGACCTAATTGTCGTCAAATGAAAATCCCCCATAGGAAACATCGTTTTGCGATCGCTATAGCGATCGCAAAAAGTCACCATCATGTGGACTCGTCGTACAGCGGGGTCATCCTCTAGCGAGGTACCACTGTATTTTGAGACTATGGATAAATGAATAAGCAGATACTGATACTGCGGATAAGGGGGCCTTTACAGCATTTTCCTCTGGCTGAGTATTTTCCATTCCAGGAAAGGACTAGGAGTGGTTTCAGAAGTCTTAATAAAAGCAAATCGCTTTTTAAGAAGGCAGTGGGCAGTTTGACTGCTGAATTCCTATACAGAGTCCATGTCGATACACTGAATCAGGAACTCTATTATGATACACATACTGTATTCTCTGTTTTTAATACAGTAGCCACAAAGCTTCATGCCCCTCTGGGAATTCTGAAAATAAACTTAAGCTTCAGTTCCAGAATCTACTCCAGTTCACATTTATACCAAGGTCTGGGAAGACGTGGTTCAAAGTGGAACACTATAAATACCAAATACAGTATAATCTGCTCTAGCTTAAGCATTACACTACAAACAATATAAAATAGGATTATTTACCACTTAAAGCACAGGGAACATGTAAATGTTTGGTCCCTTCTGGTAGCAGTCACAAATCAACCTCTCATTTTCAGTCAAGGGAAGTTACCTAACCCTTCCAGTGGCACAGTGGTTAAACTGCTGTACTGCATTTGGTCCCTCCTGGTAGCAGTCACAAATCAACCTCTCCTTTTCAGTCAAGGGAAGTTACCTAACCCGTCCAGTGGCGCAGTGGTTAAACTGCTGTACTGCAGCCAAAGCTGAGCAGAAATGCAAGATATGGAGGTGAGCAAAAGCACATTGTCAAATAAACTGACATCATTTGTGTCTGCAGGGAGCACCATAGAAAACTCTCTCTTTTTCCACTGAGCCTTGTGGCACAGTGGTTAAACCGCTGTACTGCAGCCAAAACTGTGCTCATGACCTGGGGGTTCAAATCCCGGGTAGCCGGCTCAAGGTTGACTCAGCCTTCCATCCTTCCGAGGTCGGTAAAATGAGTACCCAGCTCGCTGGGGGGGGGGGCGGCAATATGTAGCCTGCATAATTAATTTGTAAACCACCCAGAGAGTGCTTGGAGCGCTATGGGGCGGTATATAAGCAGCACGCTTTTGTTTTGCTTTTTTTGCTGTATCTAGGCTGCAGTTAAGCTAGAATACCTTCCTCTTGCTTTGAACATAGTCCCTGTCATCCAGAAGACACAGACGCAGGAGGGCAAATAAATGTCAACAGGAGAAAGCCGAGCCAAGCTGGGGTTGGGGTGGACGTGACGGGAGTGAACCTGAATACAGTCTGAGAATCTCTGCACTACGTGGAACAGTTTAGGAGAGAGTTGGAATTCCGTCGTGTATTTACCCTCAATTGTGACTTCATATTCTAGGGCAAGGTAGAGAGCATGCCTCCTTTCCAAAGAAGTGAGGGAGCGGGAATCAATTTGGATCCAAGGGAGCTCCCTCTGGCCACTTCTCCCCACCTCCAACGTCATGAGTCTACATATATAAGGAGTTACAATCCAAGCACCTCCATTCTCATACCTTTTCTGAGAGCCCCTTAGGAATGGTCACTTATTTTAGCCATTCCAACACCAGGAAATGACTGGAAGTAAAACCCCACTTACGAACGGGCAGCTTTTCAACCAGGATCTTTCCAAAAGGATTCAGGTACAAGAGATGTGCCTGCAGCTTTACGTGGAGACTGACACATAGCAACAGCAATTTGATCATACCAAATACTTCACACACATCTCACGACTGCCATCTGGTGTTTAAAGAAAAATATCTGAAGTATGCAACTTTTGACAGCAATTTAAAAAAAAAACTTTCCAATTTTCTGTTTCCTTTTGAATACAGATAGAAGGGGAAGGCCTGGAGCTGACTGAAGTAGGCAGAATAGCATCTGGAAAATACGTAGTGACTGCCTTCAGATTCTTTTTAGGCATCTCCGAAGAAGAAGCTATGTTAGTCTGTCTCGGCATGTTGGCAAAAGTGAAAGAGAAAACGAAACAAAAAGATTGCAGTACTTCAAAGACTGGGAGGTTCATTTCATTCTGAAACGAAATACATTTGATAATTCTTAAAGTCCTCCATTATTTTGCTTCTCCTCTTTTTCTCTTCAGTTTTGCTACCACCTTATGACGTTTAGCAGTATTAGCAATGTTACACCGCACTACAGCAATATTAGCATTATTACCCATTAGGAAATTATTATTTAAGCAATCCACGAATGTACACCCAGAAAGGCCTTCTCTGCAACGAAACTTAAGTCCAGGTGAGGAAAATTCATAAGGTGGTTTGAACGTTTCAAAGTAAACTTAACTCAGACATCAGAGAAGTGCCAGAAAAAGAAAAAAACACAGTGGAACTGATGAATCAAGAAATAGGATGGAGGAAATGGAATTCACAGTATATCTCCCCATATATCTGAGGAAGTGGATGCATGAATGCCCACATTGAAATTGATTTGTTAGTCTTTCAGGTGTCACAACTGTTCTGTGTTTATTTTTACTACACATGCTGAAATGGGCTGCTGTAGCCACCTCAATGAGAACAGCCACAACGTAGGGGACCGCAAAAGACCAACACAGGATAGCGACACACAATAACTGGCCTTGTATCAAATTAGAACACAAACCCACTGTATCAGTACACCTGTGATACACTGGCTGACAGCCACGCCCCTTATCTACCTGGACACATCCAGGACTGAACCTTGCCTCTTCTGAATGCAAAGCATGTGCTTGGAGCTTTAGTTATTGATCTACCGCTGGGAAGGACACACGGCCAGTTTCAAGATATCGTGCATGGTGCACTCAAGAAGTCTTGGGGGAGCAAACAGACAAAAACCCTCAACTAGGGAGCCCAACGGGACACCATGTAGTGAGTGGCTGCTATGGTGTTGTCAGTAATGGAGACCCGTCAGGACCTGGCGCAGGGAGGTGCTACCACACCAAGAACCACAAAACTCGCTGGGTGGCACCGGGGCAGTCGGCTCTCATTCTCAAACGAACCTCATGGAGTTGTTGTGAAGCAGATGGGTTGAAACAGAGCCAATCGATGCCACTTCGAACCCTCTGGACAAAAGGCAAGATAAAAAGGTAACCCACCCTGTCGCAAGCAATCCATGAACACCTACCTCTCCCGTGATTGGATTTGTTCCATACTTCTTTAGCCACGGAACAATATTCCTAGAACAGCAAATATAGGCAACATTTACACACAACATCAGACATCTCTGTGCCCCCTGCCCCCCCCCACAGAGGTTCATGTCCATTCTGGCATAACCTAATGGGCTGGTACTGCCAGCTGGCAGGTGGTCCGCTCAGAACACAGTTTAGCAGTGAGGTCACTTTGTAGACTTAACACTCCTCGCCTATAAGCCATAGTTGAGAAAGCAAGCTGTAATACTAATGATGGCAAGTGTCCGAAGGGAAAAAAAAACCCAACGGTCAACACTAAAAGTCACAGGTTGGTGCAAAAATAAAGATATTTAAAAATTCTTATAGAAGCCATTCTCCCAGCGTAGGGTTCATTCTAAAACATTAGCCTAAAACATTAATATGAATATGTGATGTGGTTTATTTATTTATTTATTTATTTATTTATTTGATTTATACCCTGCCCATCTGGCCTAAAAAGCCACTCTAGAATGAATATGTGATGTGGTTTGGGAGCTGGCGGGATAGCTTAGTAAATTAGGTCTCTGGCTGCAGAGCCAGAGTTTGGTTTGGGAGCTGGCTGGATAGCTCAGTAAATTAGGTATCTGGCTGCAGAGCCATAGTTCGGAAGTTCAGTTCCTCCACTGTGCATCTCAGAAAAGCCAGCCTGTGTGGCCTTGGGCAAGCTTCACAGACCTCGGATGCCCCCAGAAGTACTACCTACCTAGAAAGGTTTGACATAAGTCAGAATTAACTTGATGACACATAAAGTACTACCTATCTAGAAAGGGTTGACATAAGTCAGAATTAACTTGATGGCACATAATTTTATTATTGATTGATTGATTGATTTAAATTTATTTTAATTAATATACTGCTCCATTAGTGCTCCATTAGTGTTCTAGGCAGTTTACAAGCAGTTAAAAACAGGGTAAGACAGTAAACACTGAATTATTGCACGAAAAGCCATAACATAAAAAATAAACACAATGGCACCACAACAAATTTTTATCAGTTTTGGAGGTAATCTCACAAGTCCTGATGGCAACATGGCTGTAACCATACCCCTGTTTTAATTTCACCTTCTACCTCTAGTCTATGAAATTCGAAGCTGTATTTTAGGTTAAAAGGAAACCTAGAGGACAGACTTCCAAAAAGAGGCTCAGCAGTAATTAGTAACTGGCCGTTCAGAAGACTGGCCACCAAAACCCACTGTAAATTGTGAGAAATTAGGCTGACGAAGTCACCTATGCTGGAAGAGGAGTAACTTACAGCAAGTCAAAGATGATTCCATCGGGTGTGCAAACAGGATATTCAAATGGCTGCAAAGATAAGCTAGTGGGGGGGGGAGAATGAAACATGAATCAGTAGAATACAATGGAATGGTTCAGAAATAAATCTTACAAGAATAAATCTAGCTGCACTGAGCTTGCTTCTTTTCTTGTTTACAAGCAGCAGCCACAGAATAGAACTTGTGAATTTTTTGTTTCTCCATTTCTGTATAATCAAGCTTGTCATGTTTTCTAAATCTCCAAGAGTGGCAGTTCATTGTAACAACGTTCAGTTATTTAACCCCTAGGTTCTTAACGTGGGCGATAAAACTCGCTTGCTTCTTTTCATATCGTTAAAGCGAAGCAAAGGATACAGTGGTCTGTCTCAAATGGAACTGAATGTTTCATTTCCTTTCAACTGCTCTGGAGGACCCGCAGGGCATGCAAACCAAGGAATGGAAGGAGGTTCTGTTTACCCTTCTAACAAATGAAACAAAGGTGGCTAATTTGTGGTCCACAGCATGGTCCAAATCTAACATTTTTTAAAGGCTCACCTGCAGTGATCAAAAGGCAGGCGCCTGAAGTTGGACTGTGGAATTTCTGTTGAAAAGGAGGAAAGAAAGCACATTTCAGAGATCTCAATTGGGAATAAAGACACAAGCTTTGCTCTAAATTGTAGGCATTGAACAAGGTGCCTGAATGCATCATGGGTCAAGTTAAGTCAATAAGGGAGGCTGAAGCCTTTACCTTGCTGTCAACAGAAGGAAATCAAAAATAACCCCAAACCAGTGAATGAGAGGGAGGGAGGGATGAATGGATGCAGGATAGAAAACTGAACTGTCTTAAGGACTTTCAAAAATAAACCCTGCCCTCTGCCTGTATTATATGTGTGAATGGTCTCCACAAGTACAACAGAAGGGAGGGTTGCACTCTTAACTACTTCCTGAGGTAACACCACCTTAAGACATTAAATTCCAGTGTGGATATTTGCAATCAGGTGGCTACATGAGCCAGAGTGGATAGCATGCTAGACTATGGCATAATAGATCTGTGTGCAAATCTCCACTGAGCCATGAAACTGACTGGGCCAATCACTGACCTTGAGCCAATCACATGGGTGGCTCTACCTCACAGGGTTGTTGAGAAGATAAAGGGGGAGGGCCATGTTTGCTGTCTCTAAGTTCACTGGGGGAAAGGTGAATACAGTTTTTAAGTGAGGACTGACAAGCATAATGTGCACTCAGGAGCCGAGAAAGAATGTAGATCTAGATTGTGTGCAGAAACCAGGGATGTGCTGCTATTAATATGCAGGCAGCCCTCTGCAGATGTCCATATTCAGTAGGTGTCCATGGAGTGCCATTTTTTAAATAAGACCCTTTGGATACATATAAGGTTCAAAAGGAACAATCATAAGGATCATTTTAGATTTTAAGACATTCTCTAGATCCAAATCACGTACCTGCTTTCTTTCCTCCGTAAAAATGCGTATATTCTGTACATGTTATGTACCTAAGGAGAGAGTGACACAACAACAATTTTAAAAAATATATATTAAAAATAAGCGCAAACAGTTTTATCTTGGCACAGAGTTCATAAAATGTATCTGTGCACTGTTTTTAGATGGATAAAAAAAATTAATGAAAATTTTACTCTCATGGAATTTCTTCATCCATCCCAGCCTGGGGACCAATGTGTTATGAGGGTTAGATATGGACATTAAAGGTTCAAATTCTCAATAAGCCATTAAAGTGACTCTCGGCCAGATATACTCTCTCTCTCTCTCTGCCTAATTTCCTCCACAAAGTGGTTGTGCTGACAAAGTAGGGACAAGAAGAGCCATCTATACTGCTTCAGGCTCATTCCAAGAGAGGCAACAGATATGTACAATTAATAAACAAAATATCAATAATATATAAGACATAAGAAATTTATTTGTCATTGCGCTCACAAGTGGGTTATATGGTAGGCAATTATATACGCTTATATGGTAGGCAATTACTCTACATTCCGCCAGGAACTTTATGTATAAACTTTTGTTAGGAGGTTTATGCAGTCAATTCAAAGTTCATTAATTCGGTTAATAATGCTATCATTTCAGTCTGAAATTCCATTTTCAGTTATTGCACCCTGCTTCACCAGATCCCTGCCCAGTGTACACCTATATTACTGGTGCTGAAGAATTCCTTAAGCCAATTCAAAAAATAGGGGTGCTCCAAAACCAGTGGTTCTTAACCTTGGGTTACTCGGGAGTTTTAGACTGCAACTCCCAGAAGCCTTCACCACCAGCTGTCCTGACTGGGGTTTCTGGGAGTTGCAGTTCAAAAGCATCCGACTAACAAAGGTTAAGAACCACTGCGAGTCCAAACAAAAAGAAATTATAACTATGATCTTGCAAACTAACAGCCATGACTTCCTTTATGGAATCAACCCATCTCGTGTTAGACTTTCCTCTCTGTCTACTGGTGCACCCCACTTTTTCCAGCAATATAGTCTATTCTGGTCATTTCTTTATTTCCATTATACATGTATGCAGGTCATTTTTACTCAAGTGAAAGTTTAGGCTCATTTGCTTTTCTGATTTGTTGTTGTTGTTGTTGTTGCTGTCTTTAGTATCGGCACCAACATCACATTTCAAATGAGTTGAGTTTTGCCCCTGTCTTTCTTTCACATAGTATGAATAATTTTGACTTTGGTTTTCAGTGTCATTCTTTGCTAACCCCAACCTCTTCCTTTTTTTTTAAATTTGAAAAACCAAAGAGAACTCTTGAAAAACATGTGCACATGTTCATACAGCTTTTGGTCCTCAGTCTGCCTAACTCAATGAACAGTGAGCAGAAGAGGGGATCCTGCAGACCCTCTTGACGGCTGCCATGGGTGTTGTCAACATTCAGGCTGCCCTTTGCTATGGAAAGCTTGGCATCCTTTTTCCTGCCGGCAACGTGGGCACAATATTGTGCAGCAATATTGGGCCATTTCCTGGCTTTTTGAATTGTGGGTGCAGAAGCACAATGTCCCCTATTCACAAACTAGACAGGGTTTTTTTTTCCTTTCAAATAATCGAATCAGATCAATACCATCCCATGCTGGTGTGGAAAACTGAGCCCCCAGGGAAGCAACCAACCTCATTAATCAGCAGCACTTTGTCCCAAGACTTAAACAATTGTGCTTATGGAAGTGTAAACTGCCAATCAGATTCTGACTCAATGCAGGGGGGCGCTCCAAAGAACAGTGAGCAGAAGAGCGGATCCTACAGACTCTCTTGACGGCTGCCATAGGTGTTGTCAACATTCAGGCTGCCCTTTGATATGGAAAGCTTGGCATCCTTTTTCCTGCTGGCAATGTGGGCACAATATTAGACCATTTCCTGGCTTTCTGAATTGGGGCTACAGAAGCACAATATCCCACATTCATAAACAAGAGGCTTTTTTAAAAAAAAAGAACTGAATGAAGGCTTGGGGCAAAATATTTCATTCCCATGTGTCTGAATAAATGGTTTAAAATCCACAAAAGCTCACACTGAAATAAATCAGCCAGTTTTTAAAGTGCCACAAACCTTTTGGTTTTATTTATTTATATTTTTTTGCCATGCACGTGGGAGGAGAGAGACATGGTTTTCTCTTTGAAAATAAAACACTGCGCTCCAACTACTGTTAAACTACATGCTTTTTCCAGCTGGCAATGTGGGCACAATACTAGACCGTTTCCTGGATTTCTGAATTGGGGCTACAGAAGCACAATATCCCACATTCATAAACAAGAGGCTTTTAAAAAAATAAAAAAGAACTGAATGAAGGCTTGGGGCTAAATATTTCATTCCCATGTGTCTGAATAAATGGTTTAAAATCCACAAAAGCTCACACTGAAATAAATCAGCCAGTTTTTAAAGTGCCACAAACCTTTTGGTTTTATTTATTTATATTTTTTTGCCATGCACGTGGGAGGAGAGAGACATGGTTTTCTCTTTGAAAATAAAACACTGTTCCTATTATTGTTACAAGTATTAATGCTAAATACCCTCAAAGCCTTATTCAATGATACAGAACAAATTAATATTCTAATTCTACAACAACATTATCATATAAGACATTGTTCTATGGTGATGCTTATGGGTTGTTGGTTTTTTTATTTTTTAAGTATGGTATTTGTTTGATCCTTTTCAGTATTTCTATAACCACTGTAGTTCGCTTTAATACTGTCTTTTAAGGCTGTAAGCCGCCTTGGGTCCTTTCAAAGGAGAAAAGCGGAAGAAATATTTGAACAACAACAATAATAAATATTCCACCTTCAGTCTAACTAACGCAGGCCGGCATAAACACCACTGTTACATAACAACCACAACCGTGAGAAATGCTTATGCCGTGTAGTGAAACGCCTGAAGGCCAGAGGCTGAAGCCCCACAGGCTGAGGCGTTCAACGCGCCACTCGTTACTCTGTCGTTACAACGAGGTTTAACTCACATTTTGTCCTTCTGGTGCTGCCTTTTGCCCATGGTGGCTGCTGGGCTCCCCCCGGAACAGAACCGTCGGGAAAACAGGCGCCCAGGAGACGAACGCACACACAAACACTACACACAAACACCTACACTACACACACAGAGAGAGCCGGTGTTCACAACCCGCGTCTCTCTCAGAGAAACTCCAGCGGAGGGACTTCCGGGTCGGAGGAGTGCGCCGCTCATACCGACCCGACCGGGAAACTTCAAGCGCTCGCTTTAGGTTCCGGGGCGCCGTTTTTATTTATTTATTTGTTTGTTTGTTTGTTTTATATCCCTCTGGTCGACCACTCTGGGCGGCTTCCTGCTTTTTCCCCCCCTTGTATTTTGTCATGGCCACACAGCTCACCCCTTTTTATTTCACTTTTCCTCCTGTTAACTCAGAGAAGAAAAGCAGTTTGTTTTCCTCCGCTTTTTTTAAAAATGATTAAAAACAGCCTCTGCAGTCCCTTGGGAAGTTGAAAAGCCAAGCGGCCATTTGATATGGAAGGCTGTTTGTTTGTTTGTTTTTTTGCTTTTTTTTTTGCTTTTTTTTGCCCTTGGTTCCCAAGGGGAGACATGAAATATAGTGTTGCTGAATATTTTTTAAAAATCCCATTTCTTTTTCAATCCTAATCTGGTCGTATTTGTTTTGGTTTGCCCTTCAGGGTACACATTGCATATTATTGATCAATTATCACCAATAACGATGACATTTCGGCGCCAGGTTAAAACCTTCCTGTTCCAGAAGGCTTTTAATTGAAATAATATCAACTGTGGGTCCTGATGGCAATTTTTAGAGTATCTATTTTAATTGTATTTTAATTGTTTTGTCTTGTTGTATTTTGTTGTAAGCCGACCAGAGACCTTTGGGCATTGCATATTATTGATCAATTATCACCAATAACGATGACATTTCGGCGCCAGGTTAAAACCTTCCTGTTCCAGAAGGCTTTTAATTGAAATAATATCAACTGTGGGTCCTGATGGCAATTTTTAGAGTATCTATTTTAATTGTATTTTAATTGTTTTGTCTTGTTGTATTTTGTTGTAAGCCGACCAGAGACCTTTGGGTAGAGTGTGTGGCATATAAATTAAATAAAATAAATAATACAAAAATTATTTTGTTGTTGTTTAGTTGTGAAGTCGTGTCCGACTCTTCGTGATCCCATGGACCAGAGCATGCCAGGCCCCCCTGTCTTCCACTGCATGTTGGACGCCTTCCAACCTGAAGGGCTCATCTTCCGGCGTCATATCATTTAGCTTTTTGTTTCTGTCCATGGAGTTTTCTAGGCAAAGATACTGGAGTGGCTTGCCAGTTCCTGCTCCAGATGGATTGCGTTTCGTCAGAGCTCTCCACTATGACCTGCCCGTCTTGGGTGTCCTTGCATGGCATAGTCCATTGCTTCTCTGAATTACTCAAGCCCCTTTGCCACGACAAGGCAGCAATCCATGAGGGGGAAATGAGAGATAACAGGAAACAAACAAGAGATTTGCAAATATCAACCTCTTCTTTCTGGTATTATCGCTCTTCTACCTTACCTCTTCTTCAAGCAGTTCTGAGTTACATTTATGTTTTTTCCACAGCCCCATTTCTGGTCTCATAATAAACCTGAGGTAACTGTTGCATGAAGGACAGTCTTGTTAGTCTGTCAAGTCTCACGAGTCCTTCCGTTTATTATGGTACAGTTTTGTGCTCTGCAGTCCACTCCATCAGATGCATGGAGACAAACGCAAAATTACAGTGATGAAGTCGACAGAAAAATCAGAGGTGAATGAAATACAGGAAGTTCAGACACCAACAATTAAATTGTTAACCATAGTCAACCACAAATTCCCCCTCACCTTTCTGCTTACACATACACACACCCTGGTGTCAAGTCCAAGGGTCTGATGCATGAACATCTCCCCACGAGCCCTACAGAACTTTATAGGCCTCTACGGGAAAATCAGAAGCCTGTGATCATCACAGCTGGCATTTATTCCAATAAAGCAGTGGTCCCCAACCTTGGGCTCCCAGATGTTCTTGGACTTCAACTCCCAGAAATCCTGGCCAGCACAGGTAGTGGTGAAGGCTTCTGGCAGCTGCAGTCCAAGAACAACTGGGGGCTCAAGGTTGGGAAACACTACAATAAAGGGTTAATTCCAGAATAAAATCAGACCACCATTTCCAATCATATCAAAATTCATCTAGGTATCGAGGCACATGTCTTTTCATTACTGTAATGATTCCAGGCAACGTCGGCTTGTCTAATTCTACAAAGCTTTATTCATCTATATTGCTTCCATGATCAAATCTCATTTAAAAAAAATGCAATGTACAATTTCAGGGCTGTTTTTTTAAACATTTCAACACTCCCTGCTCCCTGACAGTTGAGTGTGGGGATGTCGTATTCATAGAACTGTTCTGTTGTTTAAAAAGTCCAGTGGTTAATCTCTGGTGCTGTAATTGTGCTGCTCTGATCAGGTGTCATCTGTCTGTGGGGTTTTTGGAACTTTCCTTGAAGCGCTTGTGTCGCTCACGGCAGGCTTGCCATTTCGAGTTGGTCTACGAAGATCTGCATCTGTTGCATGTTGCTCTAAACTGAAAAGGGAACACACAGAGAAACAAAACAAACTGCTCCTCTTTCTGTATGTAGACAAAAGTGTGTCTCATGCTTAGGCTATATTAAAATAAAACTGTTTTGTTTTGCTGGCGTTATACTGGCATTTTATGGGCATGAGTAAGCAGACAATGGTCTGAGCAACTCAACACAGCAACTCAAGGTAGCACTTCAAACATCTGAACTTGAGGACTATGATGCACAAAAGCCAATGCCATGCTAAAATTAACTTTTAGCCGTTCTCCTGATGGGAAAATTAGTGACAGGCTCAAAGTCACCTAATGAGCTTTATGGATACTTTTCCATGTATAAGACTATACCTTTGTCTAAAATCTTTAGACTAAAAATTGAGGGTGGTCTTATACATGGAAGTAAGCTGAGGAAAGGGAAAAAAACAAGTGGACTGGAAAGCAGGGATCAAAGCGATCCTGCAGTGCTTTGATCCCTTTCCCCCTACACTTGCTAAGCCCCACTTAGATTTCTTAATTTTGGGTTAGAAAAGGGGGCGTCTTATACATGGGGGTGTCTTATACATGGAAAAATACAGTATATACGAGATGAACTTGGGTACTCTCGGTCCTCTACCAATCCTCTTTCCCCTTCTTCCTCTTTCTCCCCTATTTTCTTGCATGATTCAGCCTGATAAAGATATCTGAAGATCCCAAAATTTTGTCCACAATGTTCTGCAGGTTTGGTTGGCCCTAATAAAAGTGCTCAACACCTAACTGAATGTTGCCGGCTGCAACATGGCATCTTCGCTCCCACTATGACACCCCACAGGCAGGATAAAATGCGTATTCCAGCTCAAAACAAATCATGTCTTTTTCTTTTTTGGACTAATCCAGCCTCTTCTCATACTACAAACCTCAGGTTCTGCAGGAGGAAGCCATCACTGTTTGAATGGTATAGATTACCATATTTTTCTGTGTATAAGACTATACTTTTGTCTAAATTCTTTAGACACGGAAGTAAGCTGAGGAGAAAAAACAAGTGGAGGGGAAAGCAGGGATCAAAGTGATCCTGCAGGGCTTTGATCCCTTCCCCCCTAGACTTGCTAAGCCCCACTTAGATTTCTTAATTTTGGTTTAGAAAAGTGGGGGTGTCTTATACATGGGGCATCTTATACACAGAAAAATACAGTATATAGATAAACTCTTGGTCTTAAAAAGACTGAAATATGTTTGAGACTGAAGTATGTTTGAGATTCCCTATCCCATTTAGACAAACTCTTGGTCTTAAAGACTGAAATATGTTTGAGATTGAAGTATGTTTGAGATTCCCTATCCCATTGAATGGTTAATTAGGATACATCTCATAACAAGCTACTTGAAAATTCTGTTTGGAACATGTTATATCACTTGAAGTGAACAGAAAATGCATTTGTCACCGAGAACAGCCATTCTCAACTTTTTTTTTGTCACAGCCATAAACACCATATGAAAGAAATACAGGCCAATCGGGTTTGTATAAGTCACTTAATGATCCTTTCAAGGTGGTGTGTGAACAATTGTTTCCAGTCTGTGGCCCCCTTCAAATGGGCCGGGGGAGGGGGCTATGGTTCATGGTGAGAATGGCTGACCAAGAAGGCAATGCTGTTTACAGTCACAACTGTCACAAAACTAAGAGCAAGACTGTACAAACTTTGGTAATACCCTGTAGCAGAGACAACCTGTTGCTTGGGATTAGGATATACTCTTATAAAACTCCTGCTTTATGTCCAGGTTGCTCATAGCATCTCAAATGTACGCATTTGTTAGTTAATTCAACTCCCCCAACCCTTGCTTTGTATAAAGATGCTCAAGGCCCATGGCTGACACGAGAAAAACAACAACTACCGACTGAAAACAATGGCTGAATTCAGGCTTGGTTTTAACAGGCTGTGGCCTGTACAGTTTAATGCTACTACAAGCAGCACAAGAACTTCCATGTTGGTTCTCAGATCAATGTAAGGTTCATTTATTATTTGTACTTTCAAAAAAAAAAAATTATATCCCCCAAACCCATCCCTCCCCTTTTCAGCTACTCCCCACCCCACAAATGCCTTTTACAAATAGTTAAAAATTAAAAACCAGATGACATTAATTTTGGTACAAGTATTCAGCCACACGGCTGTCATAATTAACAAGTTAAGTTCCGTACAACCAGGCGACTCGGTAAGGGGGGGGGAAATTCTGGTTATTGGCCAAATAAATTTTTTTTTTATATTACAAGTTAGCAAATTCTAGTACAAAAATAGTCCATGTGATAGAACAGCCTGTTTTCGTGTCTTGTTATTCACAGTTAAGAGAGTCTGCTGGCTGCATAATTCTTTATTCTATGAAATTCTTTTTTAGTGGGGCTTCTCCGCATATAACAGAAATGTAGGACAGAGCTTCGAGAAACCCTTACCAAGGAGCCCTGAAACAGAGCCAAACAGGGTGCTCGGTTTATCTTCTTGTACTGTGCTTTTCACGGGATATCCAAAATCAAAGTGGCTCCCAAATAGTCTCTTTGATCATTGTCACTGTGAGATCTGGAATCAAAAGGATCCCTGAAGGACGTTCTCCGTAAGCCCATGGCTGCTGAAGGCCATTGATGTGACACTCAAAAGTCCACATGGAGGGAGATTCACACGGTTTCTCTCCTTCCATACATTTCTCTAGTGACCTTTTTAAAACAAAACAAAACAAAACACAACGGTCTCTTGCTCATTAAAATAGCGCGGCCGTAGGTCTTCTGCTGCCTGCTGTTCCAGGAGGGTTCCGTTCTGACTATGCCCCCCTTTCCCTTTTCCCCCCACTTCTGCTTTAATGCTTTTCTGCACGTTATTTTCCCCACAAGGCTAGACGAATGTCTGGGGTTATTTGTCTCTCAGGATATCTAGCTGCTCTTGGTATTCGGTGAAAAGCCGTTGGAAACGAAGGTTCTGGCCAATGACGGGAAGAAGTTCCTTGAGGAGCTCCCGCTTTCGTAAGCCCTGTGGAAAAGCAAAAAAGGAGAACACAATTCCAGTCGAGTGTGATTTGAACAGCTTAACTTCTTTTCCCCCTCCCTTATTATCGGTCCACAGGCATATATGCCTGCAAAGAAACCAAAAAAGCCAGAGTACACAACCGACAGAAACGCTGAAGTACAGTGGTGCCTCGTGAGACAAATGCCTGGCCTGCAAAGAAACCAGAGAGCCATAGTATACAACTGACAGAAACTCTGAAGTACAGTGGTGCCTCGTAAGACAAATGCCTCGCAGGACAAAAAACTCGCAAGACAAATGGTTTTTGGCAATGGGGGTTGATGACTCGCTAGACAAATGTTCCTATGGCTATGCTTCGCAAGACGAATGTTTTCCGTTTTTTGTTCCTGCCTCACGTTTGCTGAGTTTTAAATGTTTTTCTGTGATGTTTAAAAAGTTAAAGTTTTTTGATTGAAATTTTTTTAAATCATCTGCACAATATGTATGGCTTTAAAGAGCCCTTAATAAAACCTTTGTAAACCAAATTTGACTTTGTTCTGACTTTTTTTTTTTGCCCATAGGAACGCACTAATTAGATTTCAATGCATTCCTATGGGAAAACGCGTTTCGCAAGATGAATTTTTCGCAAGACAGCATTAACCGCGGAATGAATTAAATTTGTCTTGCAAGGCACCGCTGTATATGGTAAAACCATGGCATCTGTGGGGGTTCCAAGTCCCAGCCCAGTGCAGATGCTGAGAAACATAGAAGGATCCAACGCTATACAACTCTGGCTTTCTATACTGGTAAATACACCCTGGAAATGTGTATAAATACTGTACATATTTTTGGAGGGGGAATGTTATTTAGTATTTTCAGGCAGTGGATAAATGAATCAGTGGATACTGGTCCTGCAGACTGGGGGATCGTCCTACTGTACCTCTAATAATCTGAACATTAAATAAATCACAACACAGTGTACACTATGAATGCTGGCCCATGTGGTCAGTCTCATCAATGGACATTTCTAGAGTTGCCAACAACTTTCCCAAGACAAGAAAGAAAGAAAGAAAGAAAG